TTGGCAGGCCTGTTTCAGCTTCGACCTTTTGCGTTTATTTAAGATTTATATTGGCATACAATAAATGCATAGGCACGCGTATAACTATGTATGTATAGTATGTATGTTTGTATATGTTTTGCAATTTTTATCCAACAATAAGCTGCTTAAAGGCCTCATACATTGGCGGTGCTTGATTGAGTCTACTTTTCATCATGCTAGGAGTAGGTACTATGAATGTACATATGTATGTATGTGTGATGAAATTTTTATTGCCCTATATTTTTTCGGTAACAAATTTTGTTCTGGTTTTAAGTGTGTGTGGAAATATTGTTGATGTAACCCATTTAACCAAAATGTGAGGACAAGCTGAAAATTAGAATGGTATTTTTATCGAAAATGGTGAGTATTGTGAAAAATATATAGATCACAACCAATATTATAAATAAAAAAACAGCGATGAATTTTCGAAAAATATTAAATCATGTCAGTATCGTTACGATGAAAAACTTTCAATCCATTATCGACATGAATATCGATATGATTCAATATTTCGATAACCGTCTTCTGTATCATGCAAAACATCGGTAAATCCATTGATATAATATCGACAAATATATCGATATTAAGAATAGGCGACCACTGTATCTGAGTGATTAGGCGTGCGTACTACCAGTCCGTAGAACCTGGGCCCGCTACGAGGCCGAGCAACATCTGAATAATAATTTTATTAACATCAGTGGCCTCTCGGCAGGCAAGGGCAAAACTCCGAGACAGCAGAATATTTTAGGTACCTGCGTTTGTGTTATAACATTAAAGCACACATGGCAAATTGGAGGAGAAGCTCGGCCAGAAATTTAGTACAAATTTTAAGCACCAAATATTTTTTAATGAGTAATTATGCCAATTGTAGTGCCGAAAAATATATCTATAGTGATATCAATAAATATATCGATACCAAAGTTGTTAAACTTATAGACAGAAATGTCGAAAAATATATCTAGAGTAATTCCGATAAATTTATTAATAGTAAAAATGATAAATATATCGATAATTATGTTAAGGAAGAAGAAAACCCCATTTTGGCGATGGGAAAATTGAAGGAGGCATAAACCAATGAAAGGCATTCATATTTTTTTCAATAGGGTTGCCACCTGTTAATAAAGTTACTATATGTAATCATAATAAGCGTAGGCATCAGTTCTGCACCGTCACCGTAAAACGAAAAGACTTAGCCTCTACATTTACAATAATGTATTACTTTTCTGGGTAGGGTTGCCACCTATTAAAAAGTTAAAGGATTTTCGCCATTCGTTGGATTACAAAATGAGATACCAAATGAAAGGGCCTGGCCCTTTCATCTTTTGAATAGCGTTGCCACCTATTTAAAAATTACTATTTTCCATACATAGTATAAAGGAAAGACGAGATATTTTGACTACGCTATTCTCAAAAACTACTGAACGGATTCATACGAGATTTTTAAAGTATAATCTGCATCGATAGAAATATTACCCTTAGTACTTTAAATTCCTATAGGGTTGCCACCTGTCTAAAAAATTATTAGATCCGCACTGTTCGTTGGATTACTAGAAATGAGGTATTAAACAAAAGGGCTCGGCTTTTAGATGTTCAATAGTGTATTACTTTTTGAGTAGGGTTGCTACTTTTTAAAAATTATAAAATCAACGCCGTTTGTTTGGCTAAAAATTGAGGTACCAAGTGAAAGGATATGGTCTCTGCATGTGCAATAAGTTTTTATTTTTTATTTGAGTAGGGTTGCCACCTATTTAAAAATTATGTATGCGTAATACGCGAGGCAGTTTTTGTTAATGACATTAGATTTGCACAGTTCATTCAATTAAAAAAAATGAGGTGTCAAAGGAAAAGGCTTGACCTTCCAATTTGCAGTAAAGTTTTATTTTTGGAAGAGAGTTGTAATCTGCAGGTCGTAAAATTGCAGCTAAGCCTTAATAATTTTTTGGTTTGTTGGAAGAGAACATTTTCATCACCGCGGTCGCGAATAAATCGGTTTGCAGTGAGCAATTATCTCGATCTATACTCAAAGTGCATTTTAAAAATACTATAGTATTTCAAAGCACGCCATAGAAACATTCGAATGAGTCGAGTTTTAGATTCCCACAACCTAAATACATATGTACGCCATTAGTTTGGCTTACGGGGTGTATGTACCTTATGAAACGAACACCCTGGCTACTTTTACTCGTAAATAAAAAGGGAAATTTTTTCACACGTATACACGCACAATAGCCCATAGTTCATATTGTTAATACCACGTATGATTTTATTAGACTTTTTATAGCACTTAAATAGTTTTTGTATACACCACTGATGAATGGGCAATCATATTACAAAGCTGGGATTCGATTTAAGCTGGAATACAATTAAACATTTCAATTTGCCATTTGTGTCAGGAATTTGCAGATTTGCAGATTGTATTGACAAACGATTGAAGTAGCGTAGCAAAATATTTACTAGTATATGGAAAAGCGAAGCTAGTATCGGAAATTTAATTGTGTCATGGAATATTAAGGCTTTGGAAAAGAAAAAGTGGAAGAGTTAAAAGAGAAACATATAATAGAGTTATACGTATGGAACATATTTACTTCCCAAAAAGTTAAAATAAAAGCCGAAGATTGCGTCTATTACTGGAACTTTTAAGTATCTGATACTTAAATAAGTTCATATGCAAAATACTTAAGCAAATCTACTCAATATTTTAGCCAATATTCGATAGCACTTAAGCGTTAACGGTTTTAGACCTTGCTTTTTTGAATAAAGTGCTGTAAGTGAATCAGCATGGAAAATCACAAAATTAAAAAATAAAATGACTGCTTAGTAACCCAACAGGAAAAATTCCAGCGCATAAATTCCATTGCTGATTGAGAAGTGGTGCGCTTTTGACCATTTCGAAGCAGTTTGCCCCACCTTTAGCGCGGTTAGCCTCTCTTGGTTTCTAAATATATAATTCATTTAAAAGGTAAAATGAATGAATGGGTGATGTGAATCATACTATTAGTTCACAGCCATCGACAAAGCTTGCTTACAGGTCACTGCTTCTAAGTAACCAACGCCACACCAGCTTGTTACTTTTGAATTTCCCTACAGGGAATCTACAGCGCTTTTGCCACTTTACCATAAGTAACTACATATGTACATACATACATTCATCGTCTCTCCCAATGTTCTCTCTACGATCTCACTGAGTTCACTTTGCGATCGCGTATAGAAGTGCTAAACACCAGCCGCATTCAACTCACAATTAGTCGGCTGATGGTTATAGACAAAAGAAGAGCCAAATATTATGGTTAAAACGTACGCGCTCAAACCTTTAAACATTTCGTCGGCAACTAAAACAATGAAAGCAACATCATCAAAACAATTAACAAGTTTTATTTTGAATAATTTCATGCTATTTAACGTTTTCACCTGCGCTACTGGCCAAGATGCAGAGAATGGTAAGTTGATGAAGTTTGTATAAAGTAGAGTGCTTATCAAATCGTCAAGTTGTGTTTAGTATGTTTGTTGTTAGTACTCACATACATAGGTGAGTAAGTTTAAATGCATGAATGTTAAAGCTATTTTGTTTATTTGTTCGCTTTGGTTTTCGTTGCCGCAATGCCAAAAATAAAGTATGTGAAAATCGAACATTGTACACAGGTGCAGTGGTAATTTTGCACAGTTATAAATATCACATAAATTTTAAGTTCATTTTTACGGTAATATTTCTTCGAATCAAAGGTTAAAGCTTAAGAGATGATTCGTCGTTCAAAAGCTCAAAACTCATAAGCCATGTATAAATATATCACTTGTTCGCTGGGAGAGAGCTATATATCTTCTTCTTATTTAGCACTACAACCGTGTGTCGGTTTGGGCCGAGACCAAAGAGAGAGCTATGTATGTACATACTATAATCGAACTTTTTCTTTGTTAAGTATGCATAAATGCCTGCATGCCGGTGTCAAATAATTTTTTTTAACTCTTAGGCGTTTTCCCTTAATTTTTATGAAAAATATTTTATATGCACGAATTTTGACGGCTCAGTCAAGGTCATCATAGCTTTCCAGCTTTTAATCGATTTTTCTAGCTTCAGCCAATAGCCTAATTATTGATTTTTATTCAGAAAATAATTACAGACTTAACCTTTTAAAATTTCTCAGAATGCATATAATTTTTCCAACAAATGCGTGTTATAACATATTTGAAATAATAATAGTTCTACACAAAAAAATTAGAATCGAAAATATATCGACATTTCTAAAAACAAATACAATATCAATAAATGTATCGATACTGGCATCGATCAAATTATTTTTAAATACATTTACCGACTTTTTAGATTATATGCAGACAACTTTTAAGACAATTTAATAACAAAAATAATTTTTCTAAAACTACAACAAATTATTTTTATGCATTTTTCTTATGAAAGTAGGTACTTGCATTGTATTCCAATTTATGTGGGAAAATTTAATTTTTCCAACAAATGCGTTATATGTGAAATCGATAATTTAATAGATTTTATTTTTTTAGATGCATATACCAATTCCACACCAATTTCATAGATTGTGTGTATACAATTTTGAGACAAATTTAATTATAACGATCATTATCGATATATTTAACGATAAGTGTTGATAAATTTTGAGCACTCTGTTAAAAAATCATTTTTCTAAAACTGCAAAAAATTATTTCTATACAATTGCGGCAGTCCCTACTCACCCAATAATTTTAGTTCGTGCCTGATGAACATAGATAGTATTTAGCCAAATTAACCGATTAGACCACGCAATTTATCGTTGACCGTTTATCACAGAGCAATACTGGTTTAGTGATTGCTGTATAGATCTAATTCATGCGGTCCAAGGGGTGGGTCTAAAAATTTGCTGCTATTCCGAGAACGATATTTTTGGAATTTTTATTGGCGGGGCTATCGTTTGGAAATACTTTCTCTTTTCGCAACACAAAGCAGTAAAACTTCCGTTTCTATTTACTTTCAGCTTTACCATGCTCTATTGATATTCGACGGGACTTGCCCATGTCCAACCAATCCCAACCGCTGTATCTGAAACCAAAGTCATCCGAGTACTGGCATCCAAACACCGAAGGTTATCTTCAAGTGCCACACGGTCGTTGTATTGAGCTCGTATGCACCGGCCCTTTTGCCAACGTGACCGTTGAGAATGGCACACAAAGTTTAAACTTAGAACCGCATATACGCACCATCTGCCCACGCTGCTTGCGAGGCACCACTTTCCTGCTGAACGATGGCCAATATGAGTTTCGCCATTTTGTTTGCGCGCAGAAGGTGAAATATACCGTTGAGCGGACAACGCAGGGCTGTGCAAATAATACTGCCGAAACATATCGCATCGGTTACAATTTGACCGATGGACGCTTTGTTCAAACCCTGCTCGCGTGTTACGATATCGCACAAATACGTACACATTACACAGAATTCGTTCTTGATTCTGCCAACGCGCGCTTTCAAACCGGTGTGAAGCGTTCGAGATTCTCGAAGGTCGGTTACTTTAAAATGGATATGAATTACTTGTACTCGCAAAAAAATCAACATGCGCAAGCTGCAAAAGTGCACGGCAGCACGGAAATAGCAATGACATATTTCGATTCGAAATTAAAGTATTTGTCACGTGGTCATCTGACTGCTAAAGCGGATAAAATCTATGCGACGGAGCAGCAAACCACATTCAATTTCTTCAACGTGGCGGCACAGTGGCAGCCATTCAATGGCGTCAGTTGGGCAAAGATGGAGGACAAAATGCGTCAATATTTAGCTGAGAATCAGCGAACTGCGACTTGCTACAGTGGCACATACGGCACAATGCACTTTACGCGTGCAAGTGATAATATGAGCGTGCCATTTTTCCTGGCGCAGGATGAGAATAATAATGACGTGATTGCAGTACCCCAGCAGTTCTACCGCATCTGTACTGTTGGAAGCAACGTGGGCTTAGCTATTTTAGGAGTTAATAATATACATGCAACTTTAGATGAAATAGTTAAGTATTTACTGTGCGATGATGTAAGTGAGCAGGTGCCTTGGTTGAGTTGGATAAAGAATGAACAGCTTTTAGAGTATGGCTATTTATATGCATGTCGGGTGTCCGAACTCGTAAAGATGGTGCCGGAATTGCCTGCTCATTTGAGCGGGATTACAGAGTTGTTAATATAGTAGGTTAATATGGTAGGTTAAGTGCAGCTCGTACACTTAGTAATTTAATAGGAAGTATAAGATCAGAGACTTATTTTTTTGAGTAGCAAATTGAAACTAGTACTATTGTCTAAATTAATTTATTAATCGTAATACGTATGTACATACATATGTAAATTTGCAATTACAATTCCAGAAAAAACCCATGTTATTATAATTTTTAAATTAGATCTCCTCCAAGTACTTGGGTCGATAATTTCAATAAATATTTGGAAAATAAATACTTCGACGATCAATACATTTTTGGTGCATCAAAAGTGTTAAAAATAGAAATAAAGATGAAACGCAAATGAACATTTGAACGTAGCCATAAACATAAACGCAGACGTAAAATATAAACAAGAAAAGATCCGACGCACGGATCACGGCTTGATGGCAAGGCATGCTAGCAAATGAATGACTTCTACCGAAACTGCCGCGGCAAGGAAGAAATTTAGAGTATGGAATACTACCTCTGTCACTGCCCAGCCTTATCGCGGGCAAGAAGACGTTCGTGTCATCATCATCTCTTTGTTTGTCTTTCTGACCTAAGCGTAGAAGGCATTCATGGATTCTCGAGCTTTTTTTAACCTAACCAACTGGTTCTACTTATAAGGGAACGAACCGGGTCGCATACGTGCTCTCAATTGATGGAAAATTTTGCCCACCTTTATCCTACATTGTACCTCTCGTATATTGGACAAAGGAGACCAGTTCCCATTCATGTGAGCTCATTATTGGCCAAGTCAACCATAGCTTGAGTATTAGTGGGTGCATATCAACACTCAAAAGGACCTTCTGCCTTCTTTTACTTGCCTCAGATTTACCAAAAGAGGCCTTCGGTGCCCCACTAGTTTGAAACATGTTCAACATTTGTCGAGTCCGTCGCTGATACCAGTGTAAATTTCAGAGAAACTGAGGTGCCGTCTGACCATTGACACATTGGAACGCTCCCAGCGTCCTCTATTTAAGGCATCTCCGTAGACAAAGGCAATGTAGCGTCATGCACCGCTATAAGTTTGCTTCCAATACGTTTGTCAACTTAGTGAAAGATAGAGAAAGTTTTAACATGAACATATTTCCGATCTTAAATAAAGGTTTTTGGAGTACACCGTGGAAATAGAAAACAATGCGCTAACCTAGTAATTATATTAAGTTCGTGGAAGAAAGAAATCATGATGAAATCGCTAATGACATGGCCTCTGCTATATGAGGGAAGTGTCCGAAACTTATGAATCCATTGGCTAACTTATCGAATCATAGTTTGAGTGTCAAACTCCGCAACCAATCGACGCATTATTTAGCCTGTTGTCATATTTCGTTTGATCTCCACAAGCCACGTGAAGGCTGCTGTGGATCTGCCTTCATTAGAATGAACTTTGATTTCATTTTGTTATGCCCGTATGTATTGTAAGAATAATTCTATCACTAAATTCTCATGTGAAATTTATCAGCACTCCCTATACAGCATGAGCACTTGTGGCCAAGACTCCAACCAAATTATATGTATGTATAACTTTCACTTAGTTGCCATCTTGAAAAAAGTTTCCCTGGTATATTTTCTGTCAACCTCTTGAAAGCTAAGTGTTCATCACAGTCATAAATTTAGGTATGGTCACATCCAATACCAAATCAAAGAAAAATCTGCATTAAATCAGTCAGCAGAAAACTTCGATAAAGTATTGAGATAATAATGCTAATTTTCGTGTGTGTGTGTGCAGGAAGTAACTATAATACATATAACTCAAAAAGTTTTGCCAAATTCACACCAAAAGCTGCACAGACAAAACAAAAGCAAAAAAGAAAAGTCCAAAAAAAAAAACATAAACCACCAACAGAGTGCTAGCTAACAAACAATCAAACAATAGCAAAGTCCAACTGTGAACAAAAAGAGCAGAACTGAGTAAAGTACTTTTATCCGAAATTTACTAAACGATTTATGCAAACGAGGAGCAAAAATTGTTTCTTAGTAAGCGTGGCAAATGTGGGCGCACAAGCGTGTAGCAATCAGAGTTGTTAAGCAGACGTTATGAAATCGTGAAAGCATAGTTAAGGGGTGACTGAGTTGCCACAAAGCAAAATAAATAAAGTAAAATAATATAAATTTAAAACAATTAGGATGTTTACAAGGTGTGCTATACTGTCATATCGTTACAAAATAATTGGTTTCATTGGTGGTTTCAAGTTCTCTTAACATTTATTTAGCCTTTAAAAACTGTACGACATACGACAACTTGTGAACCACCTAAATAATATATGAAGTTGGTAGTTTCATTCCCTGCCAACGGGAGACCCCGTATACAAAATTGGTTGAGGTTTCATAAGTCATACGTAAGCGAAAATAGACGTTTAAAAAACGTTTTGTTGAACGTTGCTCAAATAAGAAATGGATCCTGGTGCTAAAGAGTGATCGAAAACTTCTCCAAAACACTCAAGAATTTTTTACCATGAAAAAACATTGATCGGTATTCCCATATACCTACTCAGCTTCCCATTTTTAAATAGTGTTTTGTGGTGAAATTGTTGGAAATAAATGTGTATGGATGACTTCTAAGCACATTTCTCTTCACTGACTAAGGAGCTCAGTACATAAACAGGTATGTATTGTATAAAAAAAAAGATTACGTAGTGAACCCCTATTTTCATAGCTTCTTTAGCTTCTTGTAAGCATAAAGCGGGTAAGCTTTTTTAAACATTATAATAAGTAATATATTGGCGAGTTTGCGGTATTCGATGACAATGAAAGTCAAGTAGGCGTTTTAAGATATAGTAAATTAAAGCGTACGCTGCGGATGTAATTACGCAATTGGTGTTGGAGGAAAGAAGGAGTCAAATGTAATGAACGGTAAAAACGAACGGTTTTTATATATTTTTTTTTTTTAATTTCGTTATCGGCATCCATTAAGTTTAGATGTTCGACGACAAAGCAAAGACAGAAAACTGAACTGTTGCGCAGTTTTCATAAATGGACGCCGGGCAGTAAAATTTCTATTAAACCTGTACACATAGCCCGAACGATAAAATAATTTTAATATTTAATATGAAAAGTGTGTGAAACTAACCATATAAAGTGACTCATATCAGTGTTGAAGTACTGATTTTTTAAATATTCACAACGTTTTAAAAGTAAATTTTTTTTTTGTTAATTTTCTATTAAAATATTCTCCAAGCTTTAGCCAAAACCATATAAATCAGAATTTCAAACTTTATACAAAATTTAGGGATATTCATCAAAACTTTACAACATTTTTGTTTATTCAGTTTTGTAGCCTACACAATTTTATCTCATGAAGTGCAAGTTTCAAGCGGCTAAAAATCGGGTTGATTTTTAGTAATTTATTTTTTTTTGTGACTCCTTTTTCGGGTGTAATTTACAAAAACTGGCGTTGATTTTTCGAAATTTTGTTGCGAGCGGTCTCCCGCATTTTATTTTATATTGTAAATATTCAGATTTAAAGTTCGAAGTTTTGATTAAAATTTTTGCATAAAGTTTGAAACTCTAATTTATATGGTTTTGGCTAACGCTTGGACAATATTTTTATAGAACAATAATAAAAAATTTTAGCCTGTAAAACGGTGTGAATATTTAAAGACCAACATGTGAACACTTGTGTGAATCACTGTGTGTTTATATAGGTGCAAAAGCAGGATTTACAGTGTTTGTAGTGACAGTCAAGCTGCAACCAAGCAACTTGGCAGCCCTCTAACTATCTGCAGACTGGCCGCATGCGCCTAACTAAATATGTACTAAAATAATGCAGTAAGCTTTAGAGGCTTATTTTAGAAGCTTCCCATTTCCGAACATTTTTAGTCTCTCATCTACTAACAAACATTTCTAAAAAAAAAAATAGCTGCAATCCCAATTTGCTCTTGTCTTCTAAATGCCGTGGTATTAAAGTCTCCATTGGCAAAAATTAAATATTGATTTTGACTAGAGATAGGCGTGCGACCAAACATTCAATTCTGAACCCGCCCATCCCGATAAAGTAAATATTTTTTTTTTTAAGGAAAGGTAGTACCTTAGAGCTGGTCCCATACTAGTTTGGTTTAGATTCGAATAGATTGCATCATGAAGGAATTAAAGGTAATCTTAAATATTTATTTTTAGATATAATGTAAGAATTCAATAAAAAAAAAAAAATTATTTTCTGGATTTGTGTCTCGATTAGCTGAGGCGGAAAGATTAATTGCGTCGTTCGTTAGTTTACAAAATTTTTTTTACAGATATTAGTAAATACCAAAACTTCTACTTTCCTGACTGCTGTGTTTAGCTTGCCTCATTTGCTAGCAAGGAATTTAGATTGCATCCGAATTCGCATACAACAAATGTGTAACACAGCAAAAAGCAATCAGACTTGAGAAGAATTTACATAGACAAAACATTACGTATACGCCCCGTGGCTAATTGTAAGTAAAAGAGTACTTATGCGATTTGGATGCGTTGAGCATCGAATAATTTAAAAGACCTATTTCAAATTTGTAGACTAAATGTAATAAAGGTAGCGATATTAATTTTTAAATTCCAATAGCTATTGGTAAAGTCATTTTGAGTTACCGTAAAATATGGAAAATGCACTTATACATTAATAGGGAATATGAAAAAATTCAACAAGTAAATAAATTACTTTGAATACTATAGCTTGGAGAAATCTACAGAGAAGTAGTAGCATTAAAAGTCTATCGATACTTTCCTAGACCCTATCCTGCATTAAATCACATATTTAAATTTGTGATTGACTTAAATAAAATACTAAGCCAAACCAACTAGACTTTGACAAAATAAAAAGTATCTAGTTATATACATATTTATGTATATGCAGAACAAACACATACAAGTGCACAAACACCCACAGGCCAGAATAAAGTAAAATGAGCGGAGAATCGCCAGCAGTAGCCTAAGTCAATTTTATATTTTTTTTTCAGTCCGGTTCCTGCTATTTGGTGACCAGCCTAAGGAAATGTGCGTAACTTGCTTTGCTGATTGAGGGTCATCATTGGTGTTTTGTTGATCCAATTTCGTTTTTCCTTCTTTTTCGCTAATGCCTTACTTACTTTTCTTTTATTTTCGTTCATGCTTTTATACGTTTTTCTACACGTTTTGTCCTCCAGGAAATT